TTGACCTTATTTTCAAAATGTCACTGATTGTATATATGATGTATATGTTTGTGTGTGTGTGTTCATGATCCCTTCACCTTATTTGAGGCAGCTTAAACCAATAATTTTTGATATATTATGTATGTACATATCGATGTTTTCCACATATTGATTTGTTTTAAATGAACAACAAGCTTATGTATATATGTTCAGTGGCGTGACTAGTCAGATTGTTTTTAAATGATATGTTGATTCGGATAAAATGTTTTACCTTGTTGCTTTTTAATGGTTGAGAATTAAATATTAACTGATTTCTCTGTATATTATGTCTGTGTAAATACAGTTGATTTACGAGATGGGTAGTGTTAAGGATATAACGATTGTCGATCGATCTAACGAACAGAATTCATGTGTCCGTTGAGATGTATAAGATACTGAGTTTAGGCAATATAACAAAATATATTGAACATTCAAATTTCAATGCTTACTTACATATTTACGCCTGTTACCCCTCGTCGAGGAGCATAAACCACCATCAGCATTCTCCATCGAACTCTGTCTTGAATAATCCATACCAGTTGTTTCCAGTTACTACACATTCTTTTGATGTCTACCTCCAATACCCGAAACAGTGTGTTCCTTGGTCTTCCTCTTTTCCGTCTCCCTTCAGGATTCCAAGTTAGGGCATGCCTCGTAATGCAGTTTGGTGATTTCCACAATGTATTTCCCATCCACTTCCAGTGTCTTCTTAATTTCCTCTTTATCTGGAAGTTGGTTTGACCTCTGTCAGAGTAGGTCATTGCTGATAGTATCCGGTCAGCAGACATTGAGTATCTTGTGCCGACAATTGTTTATAAATACTCATACAGTTTTGATGATGGTTGCAGTAGTTCTCCAAGTTTCAGCTCCACACAGTAGACTTATCTCGACGTTCGTGTTAAAGATTGTGACTTTGATGTTGGTTTGCAGACAGTTGTTTTGAGTTCCACATATTCTTCAGTTGTTAGGAGTGATGTACATGCTTTGCCAGTCCTTGACTTCATATATGCATCAGATCCTCCTTGTTCATTGATGATGCTGTTCAAATCGGTGCGTGAAGCGTTCCACCTCTTCCAGAGTTTCTCCATGAATTGTGATTGGTTTGATGTTCTCTGTGTTGTATTTGAGGATTTTGGTTTTTCCCTTGTGTATGTTGAGGTCTACTGACGTAGAGGCTGCTGTCACACTGACTGTACTCACCTGCATTTGTTGGTGTGTGTGTGTGTGTATGTGTGGATAGAAGAACCATGTCATTTGCGAATTCCGAATCGTCTAGTTGCATGTGAGCTGTCCACTGTGTTCCGTGCTTCCTCTGAGATGTCGAGGTCTTCATAATCCAGTCAACCATCAGAGGAAAGAGAAAGGGAGGAAGTAAGGAGCCTTGTTTGACTCCGGTCCTGACTTGTAATTGGTTTGTGAGCTGTCCTCCATACACGACTTTGCAGTGTAGTCCATCGTATTCATTCCGTATGGTGTTGATGATTTCCCCTGGTACATTATAGTGTGGAAGAAGGTTCCATAAGGTTTTCCTATCCACCCTCGAATGATTTCTCATAATCAAGGAAGTTGGTGTATAGTGACGAGTTCCATTCAATTGATTGTTCAACGATGATCCGTAATGTCTGTGCACTACCTATCCACACGGAATCCGGTCTATTGATCTCGAAGCTGGTCGTTTACTGAATCTTTCATCTGGTTCGGCAACACTGTTGAAAACGTTTCTTGGTACCGATACTAGTGTGATGCCTGTGCAGTTCTCACACTTGCTGAGATCTCCTTTCCTTGGTATCCTGATGAGATATCCTTCTTTCCGGTGTCTGTCTGTGTCTATCAGTATGTCGTCACTTGTTCCTCCTCCCAAATCCTCCTGAATGGAACATGGAACATGTTTGTGGTTACTCCGACGTGTGACTTGAATGATTCAGTTGGTAAATTGTCAGGTTCGATTGCTTCTACTGCTGTTGATGTTTTCCCACAGTTGATTTGTTTGATGACCGATCATCCTGATTTCTTCGATCGTCGGTGGAGTGACAGTTGTAGGAATGTGTGTATGTGTTGCCTCGATGTTCGTTGTGTTCATTGAAGCTCGTCTATTCAGGACCTCCTCAACGTAGTTGTTAATAGGTTACTGGAATCCAAACAACAATCTGTGATTTAGACTTATTGTATCCCAGAAGCGTAGAACGATCAATTCAGATCCTTCTGAATACTTGAAGGCTTCCTAACCTTCTACGAGCGGGCGAATTCCTATGTAATCGTACTAAAGGGGTTCGTAATGATGTAACTGACTGTGGCGATTATTTGCTGCAGATAATTTGTGTTTATGAAATGTGGTCTTGTACCGTAATGGAAGTTAAATAATTACAACTGGATGACAAGTAATGAGACAACGTTATCAGATATACAGATTAAAAAAAGTCGACAGTTAGGGACTGTCTTTGATAGGTCATTAATTTATTCTAAGCACAACTATCTCTGAATACTTACAGAACAATGAAGGAATGTTTGTCTTTCAGCTATCCTTCTGTTACCCAAAATACGGAACCAATTTGAGCAGAACACTGAAATTAGTTGTCAAAGTATCAGTGTAGGTGAGAAGGTAGTAAGAAGCTTAAAGAAGACAAATAGGTTTGCTTTTGAGATAGCTATTCATGATAATTGGTGACATAATGGACCCATCATAGACGAATCCTTGAATTTTCAATGTTGAATTATGCCATGCAGAAGGCTTGATTATGGAATTCGTGCACATTACTTACTGAACTAAATTTTAGGAGCCTACTTGTTATATCAATGCGGAAACTGGAGTGGGTAACATTATCGCTTCGCTGTATTCATCTACACAGCGACTGATTGCATCCTTGATTTCAATAAAGGATGATCACCAACGCCAATTAAATTTCTTCAATAAAGTCTATACGATAGATATAATTGTGTTAGAATTGGACAGGTTGGGTGTCTAGAGATTGAGGAGAATCATTTGGGATACAGGTCAGATAACTGTGATCGTCTTGTGCAATTTTGTTCAGATCATAACATGTCCTCAGCACCAACACTTGAAACTGTCATCTAAGTTCCTCCCTCTTTAAATAAAATCGAAACCCACATCACAATCAGCTACCGTTGGTATGGATGTGTACTTATCTGAATTCTGATCATGACCTAGTTTACTCTAAAGTTATCTTAATTTTCGGAGGCCAGCAAACGTCTTATCTTGAATCGATTAATTTAAACGAATCGGTTTTCATTGTAACTAAATTGAGCTGTGTTCAAGACTGATTTTTAATTCACTTTGGTCAATGAGTTTAATAATAGACGTAGGTTCCTTTGCAGGAAACTTTTCCTTAGTTTGCTTAAGGATCTAGAAACCTGGCGGTCAGAGTATACTAACGAGGTGGAAAAAGCAGTTGCTGTTTTAATTCATCTGAGCCACTGGAAGTGCAGTTTGAGTGAAACAATTTATAAAACCAATTAGTACCATCCAACGTCTTTTCAAAAGGTTGCCATAGTTTTTGAGGGACAGTTCAACTAGCCTGTTTGCCCCACTAACATTGATAAGGCTGTTTAGTCCTGCCTCGCCATTGATTACCGACCCACCTAACGAAATGGAGGTCAGCAATGAGTTTCATCTTCTGAAGAGTCACAGGCTGATGGGCCTAAACGACATACCTTTAAGTCTTCTTAAAGATGCTGACGAGCTTTCGGACAGAAAGCTGAGTGGATAGTTTGAAAATGTTTTGGAAAAATAAGGCGTTTCAGCAGCTATGAATGAAAACATCATCGTTTCAATATTTACAGATTCTTTGCAGTTACTATTGGAGGATAAGTCCACTGTCGATCACGTCCAAAATATCGGTTTCCGTCACTTCATTGATTATTCGGAACATTTCGAAGGCTGACACGTGAGGAGCGCGTTATCTGTAATCGTGTTGTAGATGTATTGGTCACATCACACTTCATCAAATTCCGAAACGTCACATTTGCAAGCGAACTATCTTATGCTTCTTAATATCAGTTCTGCGATTTGTTGGATAGAACTGTACTTTTAGATTGTCTGTCAAAGATGTGTGTGCCTGAGAAGTTTGTCAACAGCTTCGGGGACCAGGAGTACTGAGGACTTACTTTCACCTCCCTCCTTTATTCCGTTTTAGCAGTGAGGTACTACAGATTTACCCGATCTCACAGTTTCTTTATAACTTTGCCACAATGACATTCTGGAATACACTGAAAGTACGTATTAGTGATATGATAAAGACTACGGTCTTGAGTGTGTGGATGATGTTTTCTTACTGTATGATAATACAACCTATGCGAGTCACAGTTGGCAATTAGTGTTCTTAAGTATAACATGTGTTTTGCGCCTTTGAAGCGCAGAAATACTTGGCAGAAGCCTCTGCTGGGACTCATACTCTGTGATGAACCGTCCAAATTGTTTGGAAAGCCTGTGTATCCGTCGTTTTCTTAATTTGGTGGTGAGGAAGATCAGTCTACTTATAATGAAAACCAGATCTAGGCGATTTCGGCACCAGCGTGGTGTGAGTCTAGTGGCAAAAGGTTTGCTCTACAGCATGTTCGTAATAGCAGTTTATTGTATGCTGATGAGACCTGTCTTTTCTCAGTTGGTGGTGTTAAACGACTTTAGGTCTGATCACCGTCGTCTCTGGAGGACTATCAGAATTCAGTGGCAACACCATGTTAGTAATGTGGAGGTTTGACAGCGTTTTCGAGCACAGTGATAAATAAATTGTTGTCACCACCTTGTTACTGTAAACTCATAGAAAAGCCTTCCAAACATCTGAGATATTTTTTCCAGACGAATACTATTAAAAAGTTCCTTGGGAAATAATTAACTACCTAAGGCACTAGAGTGTAGGCCATCAGGTTGTTTTGATTAAAAAGTGCTTTTGCGAAATAGATCAATGAACGCTTGCACACTATAGGTTTATTACTTCCTAAATTAGAGTACTCGTCCTGGAAAATAGTCACTTTGGTAACTTTGTAGAATCAGCGTTATTAGATAATAATAATAATAATAATAATAATATAATAATAATAATAATAATAATAATAATAATAATAATAATAATAATAAGCATAATAATAATAGCAGTAGTAGTAGTAGTAGTAGTAGTAGTAGTAGTAGTAGTAGTAGTAGTAGTAGTAGTAGTAGTAGTAGTAGTAGTAGTAGTAGTAGTAGTAGTAGTAGTAGTAGTAGTAGTAGTAGTAGTAGTAGTAGTAGTAGTAGTAGTAGTAGTAGTAGTAGTAGTAGTAGTAGTAGTAGTAGTAGTAGTAGTAGTAGTAGTAGTAGTAGTAGTAGTAGTAGTAGTAGTAGTAGTAGTAGTAGTAGTAGTAGTAGTAGTAGTAGTAGTAGTAGTAGTAGTAGTAGTAGTAGTAGTAGTAGTAGTAGTAGTAGTAGTAGTAGTAGTAGTAGTAGTAGTAGTAGTAGTAGTAGTAGTAGTAGTAGTAGTAGTAGTAGTAGTAGTAGTAGTAGTAGTAGTAGTAGTAGTAGTAGTAGTAGTAGTAGTAGTAGTAGTAGTAGTAGTAGTAGTAGTAGTAGTAGTAGTAGTAGTAGTAGTAGTAGTAGTAGTAGTAGTAGTAGTAGTAGTAGTAGTAGTAGTAGTAGTAGTAGTAGTAGTAGTAGTAGTAGTAGTAGTAGTAGTAGTAGTAGTAGTAGTAGTAGTAGTAGTAGTAGTAGTAGTAGTAGTAGTAGTAGTAGTAGTAGTAGTAGTAGTAGTAGTAGTAGTAGTAGTAGTAGTAGTAGTAGTAGTAGTAGTAGTAGTAGTAGTAGTAGTAGTAGTAGTAGTAGTAGTAGTAGTAGTAGTAGTAGTAGTAGTAGTAGTAGTAGTAGTAGTAGTAGTAGTAGTAGTAGTAGTAGTAGTAGTAGTAGTAGTAGTAGTAGTAGTAGTAGTAGTAGTAGTAGTAGTAGTAGTAGTAGTAGTAGTAGTAGTAGTAGTAGTAGTAGTAGTAGTAGTAGTAGTAGTAGTAGTAGTAGTAGTAGTAGTAGTAGTAGTAGTAGTAGTAGTAGTAGTAGTAGTAGTAGTAGTAGTAGTAGTAGTAGTAGTAGTAGTAGTAGTAGTAGTAGTAGTAGTAGTAGTAGTAGTAGTAGTAGTAGTAGTAGTAGTAGTAGTAGTAGTAGTAGTAGTAGTAGTAGTAGTAGTAGTAGTAGTAGTAGTAGTAGTAGTAGTAGTAGTAGTAGTAGTAGTAGTAGTAGTAGTAGTAGTAGTAGTAGTAGTAGTAGTAGTAGTAGTAGTAGTAGTAGTAGTAGTAGTAGTAGTAGTAGTAGTAGTAGTAGTAGTAGTAGTAGTAGTAGTAGTAGTAGTAGTAGTAGTAGTAGTAGTAGTAGTAGTAGTAGTAGTAGTAGTAGTAGTAGTAGTAGTAGTAGTAGTAGTAGTAGTAGTAGTAGTAGTAGTAGTAGTAGTAGTAGTAGTAGTAGTAGTAGTAGTAGTAGTAGTAGTAGTAGTAGTAGTAGTAGTAGTAGTAGTAGTAGTAGTAGTAGTAGTAGTAGTAGTAGTAGTAGTAGTAGTAGTAGTAGTAGTAGTAGTAGTAGTAGTAGTAGTAGTAGTAGTAGTAGTAGTAGTAGTAGTAGTAGTAGTAGTAGTAGTAGTAGTAGTAGTAGTAGTAGTAGTAGTAGTAGTAGTAGTAGTAGTAGTAGTAGTAGTAGTAGTAGTAGTAGTAGTAGTAGTAGTAGTAGTAGTAGTAGTAGTAGTAGTAGTAGTAGTAGTAGTAGTAGTAGTAGTAGTAGTAGTAGTAGTAGTAGTAGTAGTAGTAGTAGTAGTAGTAGTAGTAGTAGTAGTAGTAGTAGTAGTAGTAGTAGTAGTAGTAGTAGTAGTAGTAGTAGTAGTAGTAGTAGTAGTAGTAGTAGTAGTAGTAGTAGTAGTAGTAGTAGTAGTAGTAGTAGTAGTAGTAGTAGTAGTAGTAGTAGTAGTAGTAGTAGTAGTAGTAGTAGTAGTAGTAGTAGTAGTAGTAGTAGTAGTAGTAGTAGTAGTAGTAGTAGTAGTAGTAGTAGTAGTAGTAGTAGTAGTAGTAGTAGTAGTAGTAGTAGTAGTAGTAGTAGTAGTAGTAGTAGTAGTAGTAGTAGTAGTAGTAGTAGTAGTAGTAGTAGTAGTAGTAGTAGTAGTAGTAGTAGTAGTAGTAGTAGTAGTAGTAGTAGTAGTAGTAGTAGTAGTAGTAGTAGTAGTAGTAGTAGTAGTAGTAGTAGTAGTAGTAGTAGTAGTAGTAGTAGTAGTAGTAGTAGTAGTAGTAGTAGTAGTAGTAGTAGTAGTAGTAGTAGTAGTAGTAGTAGTAGTAGTAGTAGTAGTAGTAGTAGTAGTAGTAGTAGTAGTAGTAGTAGTAGTAGTAGTAGTAGTAGTAGTAGTAGTAGTAGTAGTAGTAGTAGTAGTAGTAGTAGTAGTAGTAGTAGTAGTAGTAGTAGTAGTAGTAGTAGTAGTAGTAGTAGTAGTAGTAGTAGTAGTAGTAGTAGTAGTAGTAGTAGTAGTAGTAGTAGTAGTAGTAGTAGTAGTAGTAGTAGTAGTAGTAGTAGTAGTAGTAGTAGTAGTAGTAGTAGTAGTAGTAGTAGTAGTAGTAGTAGTAGTAGTAGTAGTAGTAGTAGTAGTAGTAGTAGTAGTAGTAGTAGTAGTAGTAGTAGTAGTAGTAGTAGTAGTAGTAGTAGTAGTAGTAGTAGTAGTAGTAGTAGTAGTAGTAGTAGTAGTAGTAGTAGTAGTAGTAGTAGTAGTAGTAGTAGTAGTAGTAGTAGTAGTAGTAGTAGTAGTAGTAGTAGTAGTAATAGTAATAATATATAATAATAATAATATTAGTAATAATAATATAATAGTAATAATAATAATAATAAGTAAATGAATGTTCTAGAGATCGAGAAGGAAAATTCAACTGAGAATAACATGGACATCACGGTTGAACAGAAGTAAAAAATTCACATCTCCGTATCTGGTTTTAGTATCAAAACACAGACAGCAAATTTACGTTGACTTTTTGAACAAAGTAATCAGATATCAGCTAAAAGAAATTGATACGCAAAATAAATTATTACGCTACTGAATATTCGAAAATTTAGTCACTAAAACGATAAGACATAGATAACTCTAACTCACTAAACGCAAATTATAAGACAGAACTTTCTGATACGTACTATTTGGGAAAGATAAATAAAAAATATATATTTGAGTGAACAATTCTTGATAACTTCATTATCAAGCTCCACTTGTTTAAATTCATAATTATTGGATTACAATGGACAAAAGGCACATATAAGTACATGAATAGGAAAATGTTAAAACAGTAAACTTTTATATCGATTCCGACCTAGATGCATCTCAAGCGTATCTAATAGGTCCTTTAATAATAGAGTTGCAAAATCTATTGTAAAGTTTCGAGTTATAATCGCTTTAATAAAATTCAAAATAAGATGTAGATGTTGGGTCGATTATCATCATAAGTGAACCTACCTATGTCGTTCGAATAATAGCCTCAATCCACTGAATTTGGACTGTAATGATATGATTTTCGAACCGAAGTAAGCTCAAATCGAAGTCATACCATTTAATGATTACCTATCCTCCCCTACTCTAACGTGATAATCAGTTTACTCTGCTCTTTCCTTAGAGAATAAATGGAATATTAACAGTGGAGTACTTTATTAAGTAGAGCTGCCTAACACTAATTAATTTACATAGACAGTGACTACATGGCTGCATATACAAGAATCAAACTAATAATTAATCAATCCACGTTATTCACTCTTGACCTAAACGAAATTCACTAAACCATTCAACTTTCAGTGACCTGTCTTTTATGATATGGGTGCGTTCATGTTAACGGATAATCCGGCTAGGGTTTGGTGATATTTCATTGACCCTACGTGGAGAAATGTTATATCTGGTTAGTTGAGATAATAATAAAGTTGTATGGATATAATATGTAGAAACAGAATTGTCATCCGGGTAATTATCGGGAGGAATTCATGTGAAGTGAGACACAAAAGTGCAAGTTCAGAATAAGACAGTGAAGAGAAAACCATGAAATGGTTTCGGGGAGGTATGTTTTATGTTGTATATATATGCATCGGTCTACCCAATCATGGACATTAGTAATGAGACAAAAAGAATAGACCTCTTTTGAATATATAACTTTGTATGGTATTTAATACAGAAATGTTAATCAACATATATGTGCATTCATTTTGGAATATGATATGTGACTGACCATCTGAGGGTCAAATGCATCAATTCAGTTCTGTCGGTTAAACTGTGAACAAATATGTGATTGAATCGAATATATTATGTGTAAGTCCTTCAGATATTCGATTGCTTGAATGCATATCACTCTATTAATCAGTTAATCTGTCTTTCCGTTCATCGTTTTTCATTACTTTCTTGATGTGAAGTGATTAAAATACGCTGATTAATCAACAGTTTGGATAGTTTGAACTCATTTCTTTACAATTCAGTTTGAACTAATCTAATGCGTTGTTGTATTTATTTTACTAATTTACAACTTGTGTATGTTCTATCGTCACTATTCCTTCTATTTTTATACACTTTCTGTTGATTCTTAACTACAACGTCGAAATAAATCTAATTAAATTATTAAGAGGTCTGATTTTTGGAGCTATTGCATTACAACTTTATCTGTGTCCGTTGAGATGTATAAGATACTGAGTTTAGGCAATATAACAAAATATATTGAACATTCAAATTTCAATGCTTACTTACATATTTACGCCTGTTACCCCTCGTCGAGGAGCATAAACCACCATCAGCATTCTCCATCGAACTCTGTCTTGAATAATCCATACCAGTTGTTTCCAGTTACTACACATTCTTTTGATGTCTACCTCCAATACCCGAAACAGTGTGTTCCTTGGTCTTCCTCTTTTCCGTCTCCCTTCAGGATTCCAAGTTAGGGCATGCCTCGTAATGCAGTTTGGTGATTTCCACAATGTATTTCCCATCCACTTCCAGTGTCTTCTTAATTTCCTCTTTATCTGGAAGTTGGTTTGACCTCTGTCAGAGTAGGTCATTGCTGATAGTATCCGGTCAGCAGACATTGAGTATCTTGTGCCGACAATTGTTTATAAATACTCATACAGTTTTGATGATGGTTGCAGTAGTTCTCCAAGTTTCAGCTCCACACAGTAGACTTATCTCGACGTTCGTGTTAAAGATTGTGACTTTGATGTTGGTTTGCAGACAGTTGTTTTGAGTTCCACATATTCTTCAGTTGTTAGGAGTGATGTACATGCTTTGCCAGTCCTTGACTTCATATATGCATCAGATCCTCCTTGTTCATTGATGATGCTGTTCAAATCGGTGCGTGAAGCGTTCCACCTCTTCCAGAGTTTCTCCATGAATTGTGATTGGTTTGATGTTCTCTGTGTTGTATTTGAGGATTTTGGTTTTTCCCTTGTGTATGTTGAGGTCTACTGACGTAGAGGCTGCTGTCACACTGACTGTACTCACCTGCATTTGTTGGTATATGTGTGTGTGTGTGTGTGGGATAGAAGAACCATGTCATTTGCGAATTCCGAATCGTCTAGTTGCATGTGAGCTGTCCACTGTGTTCCGTGCTTCCTCTGAGATGTCGAGGTCTTCATAATCCAGTCAACCATCAGAGGAAAGAGAAAGGGAGGTAGTAAGGAGCCTTGTTTGACTCCGGTCCTGACTTGTAATTGGTTTGTGAGCTGTCCTCCATACACGACTTTGCAGTGTAGTCCATCGTATTCATTCCGTATGGTGTTGATGATTTCCCCTGGTACATTATAGTGTGGAAGAAGGTTCCATAAGGTTTTCCTATCCACCCTCGAATGATTTCTCATAATCAAGGAAGTTGGTGTATAGTGACGAGTTCCATTCAATTGATTGTTCAACGATGATCCGTAATGTCTGTGCACTACCTATCCACACGGAATCCGGTCTATTGATCTCGAAGCTGGTCGTTTACTGAATCTTTCATCTGGTTCGGCAACACTGTTGAAAACGTTTCTTGGTACCGATACTAGTGTGATGCCTGTGCAGTTCTCACACTTGCTGAGATCTCCTTTCCTTGGTATCCTGATGAGATATCCTTCTTTCCGGTGTCTGTCTGTGTCTATCAGTATGTCGTCACTTGTTCCTCCTCCCAAATCCTCCTGAATGGAACATGGAACATGTTTGTGGTTACTCCGACGTGTGACTTGAATGATTCAGTTGGTAAATTGTCAGGTTCGATTGCTTCTACTGCTGTTGATGTTTTCCCACAGTTGATTTGTTTGATGACCGATCATCCTGATTTCTTCGATCGTCGGTGGAGTGACAGTTGTAGGAATGTGTGTATGTGTTGCCTCGATGTTCGTTGTGTTCATTGGAGCTGTTCTATTCAAGAGTTCGTCAACGTGTTCTACCTATCTGTTCCTGCCTTGTCTTGTTTGTCCTTAATCGGTCTCTCTGGTTTACTCTATTTCCCTGCTTGTTTCTTAGTTGCGCCATACGGTTTTCTGATATTTGCTTGTGTTACAGCTTTTTCCACCGTCGTTGTTAGGTGTTCCATGTATTTCTTCCTGTCGACTCTAATGCTCCTCTTCACCTGTTTGTTTGCTTTGTGTACTCAGCTTGTGCCCTGACCATCTCCGTTCTTCTTCGACTGTTGTTAATTGCATTGTTTTTGTTCTTTCTTTCTTTCTTGAATCGATCACAGGTTTTCTATTGAGATCTAAAGAGTCTGATAACTCAGGTAACTCGCTTTGTTTAACAAACAAATGACGGCTACATCTCCTAATGTAATTTTGATTAGGTGTGATGTGTCTGGCTAGAGAACTATGGTATGACTTTTTGTCATTTCTTTTATGACAGGATAATTTCTATCTCGACTAAACTCTTGGTTTTAGGAACAAAGTGTATTTATTTCTGAACTTTTGGTTAATGAAAAAATGTAATTCAGTAATCAAATACAAACTTATGTACTCGACTTTGAGTTAAATCGATTCGGTTTGGATGCTAGTAATACTACCTAGTTTTATGGAACGAAGTGTGATTTTGAGATGGTGGAGATTTGTAGCTTAGGTAGATGATTTTGTTGGAGTTTCGCTCTCTGAGCTGGATGGTTTGGTCGTGGAGCTTTCATCGTCCTTCTGAACGACATCATCACAAACTGAAGTGTGTGTGATTCAGAAGAATGAATACCGTTTAAAGTCAACTACTATGTAAATAAGGAAATATGCTTGTTTGGGATGAGTTTCGTGACACACAGAATCCCAATAGCGGCTAAACCATATAGTCTAGCTGTTCATTCTAAATAATTTCTGTCTGCTCAAATAAGAAGTGGAAAATGTTAATAAGCAAACAATTTTTTCAAAATATGATTAGTCGTATAACTCATCAGTATAACAGTCAATTGATAGATCAGATAACTAAAGCTATAATTGAAAAGCCTAATCTAGATTTAAGCAGAAACATTCTATGACATTTCATAATCACTGAACTGGGTAAAATGCCAGTTAGATTAACGATAGTATGATACAATCATATCCAACCTACTATCAAGTAGTATTATGAGAAATCATCATGAATGTCAACATTATGAAGAACTGATGACTACTTCTAAAAGCAAATGTAGTTTTCTAACTCAGGCCAGATATATTCACACTGAAGTATATTGACAAAAGGAATTCTATATAATCATACAGTGGGAGAAGTTAAAGAGAATTGTGGTTGTTGTTGAATTCTAATATTATCGATAAAAATTTCGACGTTTGTATTTCAGATTATAAAATCTGTAGTTTCAGAATGTTTATGTCAAAACATATGTATCTTGAACAATAATGCTTCTTTTTATTATCCCATTGGCACAATCATTTAGCTTTATCAGAGTA